AAGTAGTCTGCTGTACAGGTATTAGGCTACCTGATTAGTTCTATACTCTGCTACTATACCTGTAACCTGCCTGTGAGTTACCTATTTAAACACTCTGTTCATTAACTCATACAGATCCAATCTAACATTACTACAACACCTAACTGCTTAAGCTAACTAGCTCATTATAGATCTATTTATTTAGAATGGCTTAGGTCCTCTCAGAATATATTATACTAGACATTTTGCTAGTATTGCAGAGCCAGTTAACCTCGAAGCAAACCTACTAGAGTAGTTTGTACCTATTTTATGAATTTACCTAGTTTAGACTTTTGTAGATATTTATACAACCCCAGATTCTACATGGTTCTCCACTAGTCAGTTGACCTAGTTCTTTTTTAGTATTCAGCTAGTTCCAGTTATACTTCACCTAGAGACCTCGAAACCTTCTACCTTTATTAGACCGAGTTTTCTTCTCAGATCAGACTTTAGCTGATATAATCCTGTCAGAAAGCTATATTACTTCACTGACTCAGGATTTCTACTATGCAGATTATCTGCTCATATATCCTATCAAGATTTATTCATGTAATATTATACTACACTTCCAAGTTCTGATCGATTTAGTACAACTCAATTTACAGGAATACGCCCCCAAAAATGAATAGGGTTTACTGTAATGTATCACAAGATATGAGAAATTATTCAAATCTATTGATAGTAGGATTTGAACTCCAAACCTATTGCATAGCAGTCTAACAACCTAACCACTATACTAGGTCACTGGACCTTTAAAAATCTTTATTAACAATATACTTATAGAAATATATATATATATATATTAGCATCTTTAATACTTTTTTTTTTAACTATACAATACTAAATCTAATTTTACTAATTTAGGTTCGGTGATCTTAGTGTAGTGATTAGGTTATCAGACTGCTATACAAGAGGTCTAGAGTTCAAATCCCACTATCAACAGAATTAAATAATTACCTAGATATCTGTATCCAACTTACAATAAAACTTTGCCTGTTTCTGAAGTTGTAACTCTGTAAATCATATTGTACTAATACCAATTAGGGTATTGAAAGTATGATGAGGCATTTAGAAGAGTATAACATTATATGAATAAATCTTGATAGAACCTATAAGCAGAAGACTTGTATAGTAGAAATCCTAAGTTAGATAAAGTAGTACAGATTTTAACAGTTATACCAGTTAACATTTAATGCGAGAAAGAAAATCTGTATACAAAAAGATCAGCAACTAGGATGCGAGTAAGTCTGTTAAGAACTCTGAGTATAAAAAGATCAGCAAAATAGATATGTATAAGTCCATTATATGAGGTTGTATAGCAATACTAACTTAGCTTAGCAGCTAACTAGATTTGAAAAGATTTGTTTCATATGATATCTGGAAGTACAGACAACTTTTAGCAACACTAGTCTGAGTAGTAACCAGATCTGAGAGGGCTTATCTCATATGATATCTGGAAGTACAGATGACTAACCCAATAGAAAGCCATAGTAGGAACTGAGTTTATACGAATATTGAACAAGGGTATATACAAGCTAAATTGTGATATAGCATAGCATATTTGGATACCATAGCACCTATTGATTAGGAAGTTAGTGAAGAGATACCTGAGATAGGTTTAGACTTCAAATTATAAAGTTTGTAAACCAATATTAGCTCTGTTGATGTCTTTAAAAAGGGAGTAGTATAGAGTTAGGCAAATTATGATAGAATTGCAGGTTAGAAATAGCATATAGCCAGAGAGTTTAAATAGGGAATTTTCAAATAGATTTCAGATATAGTAGCTAGTGTAGAACCTTCAAGCAAACTATTAAATTAGACAATCTAAAGTTGTACATGTGGCTAGTTGTTCTCTCACAATATGTAATATTTCTCACTATTTATATCAATAAAAATTCAGCTGATAGTATTTGTATAAAGTAAAAAAAAAAAAAAAAAAAAAAAAAAAATTATATAAATTACAAACCCTGAACTATTTATGAATTTTAAATAACTAAATATTAGATATTTAAAGAATATCTATTTCTAATCATGAATATTCATAGATTTAACTTCTAGTTAGTTTCTTTAATAACAAGTTGTTTTTGTGCAAAGTTGATACTTAGTTATGCAATTTGTTTAGTCAAGGTTTTGATAGCTTAGTTAGTTTTAGTATTCTTATTTGATACTATCACATATCTAGTTTCTTATCTTTTAGCATTAGTTATAGCAGTAGATAAGTCAGCAAGCTCTGTTACTTGTATATTAATAGCATATTTAGGATGTAGTTTTTAGATAAAAAGTTGAATAATGAAGGTAGCAGAGAAGGTGTTTGCTCTATCTATTTTTTTTTTTAATTCTCTAAACCTATTTACATATATATCAATAGTATTATTACTTTGTTTAATCTTAAAGAATTGTTTTTGCCAAAGGGCTTTTTGTTTAGGAATATAAAACCTAGTTCTAAAGAGATATTTAAAACTTTAGTCTCAATAGATATTATAATCAAAAGTATTAGAGACAGAGTTAAGAGTAAAAAACTAATTAAGAGCAACTCTCTTAAGAAAGACAATTGCAAGTTCAAGTTTTCTATTATTATTCTACCTGTTTGTAGTAGTAGCTCTTCTAAATTCTTTAAACTATTCTTCTGAGTCTTGCATTCTATCTTCTCAGAAGTATTTGACTTTAATGAAGTTCTTCTCAGATCTTTGTCTTAAGATATTAGCAAAATTAGTTATTGCTATAGCAAAAGCAGTTAAAGTAGCATCATCTATTATAGGTTGTTGTTGTAATGAAGATAGAGAATTTATAGATAGTAGTAAATTAAGAAGTAGAGTTAGTATTGTAAAGTCTTCAAATATTAATAGTGTATCAACTAATATTTGGAAACTTCCTAGTTCAGAATATATTTGAGTTGTAAAGAAGTTTTGTCAATAGAAATAGTATTTTGATTCAAGATAGTAATTATACTGATTATAATATATAGAGTCAAGAGTAGATATATTGTAGTAAGTATATCAAGCAAAGAGTTGACTTATAATTTCTTAGGAGTTGTAGTTGTTATCTTAATAAATGTAGCTGAATATAATATCTTAACAGATAGTTTTAGTAGTAGTTGAGTTATATATTTAGCCTAAATTATAAAATAAGTCTTGAGTTCTTTTACTATAGATTAAAGTATTATAGGTTCATTAGTACTAGTTCCAAAATCTTTCAAAAAGTTGGTATTGATTTGCTCTTCTTGTTAAGTAGCAGTTAATACAAGTTGTATTAGATGTAAGTGCTTGAATAAATAGGATAGCTCTGTAGTCTTCAGTTAAATATTCTTTGCAATATGTTTAGATAGCTTTTTAGTAAAATTGTTGTATAGTATAATTTATATAACTTGATAAAGTCTTTCTCTTATTCTAAGAGATATCTTTAATCAATAATTTATTTCTTTTTTATTATCTAGAAATATTTTGTCTAGTTATTTTCTTATTATCTTTTAGGTTTGTTACTTCTAGTTATCTTGTTTCTTTTTTAAAATTATTTTTTTCTTTTCTTCTAAGAATATTTCATTCTGATATTTTCTTTTGTTATCTAAGAATGTTTCTTCTAGAAATGAAATTACTTATGCTTATACTTTAGCTTATGAGTAATTTACTTTTGATTTTTTACTTTTTACTTTCAATAAGTAAAGTACTCTGTCTTTTCTTAGATAAGAGAATGTTTCTTCCTTCATAGGTTTTCTTTTCAGCAATAAGTTTGGTTTTCTGTTAATAATTTTAGCTTTCAGCTAGAAAGTACTAAATGTTACAAATAGCATAGCCTTCTTAGTATACTATAAGTAACAGTAATACAACTATCTAATTACTTTAAAAAGTGATATCCAAAAGAGAAGTTTCTTTAACTAATTGTAAAAACAAATTTTACTCTACAAGAAACAGTTCATTTAGGTTTATTTAATAATAATATATTTATTAATTATAAATATTTAGAGTCAAGTACAAGAGAGGAAGAGAGAGTTGAGGTCTAAACAACTAAAAGGCAAGAGAAAGAATTCTACTTGTATTTATAACTTTTAGCAAGCATTATATAAGTATCAACAAAATATTATATAAGTGACTTGTGTAAGTATCGCTTAAGTATTTATGCAAACAACAGTTAAGTATTACTATTAATAGTTTGGTATAGTAAGAGGCATAGTACTTGATATAGCTTGACACAGTCTAGTACAGTCTTTCAGTACAGTCTAATATAGTATTAGTATAGTATTTAATACAGTTTTGATGCAGTTCTTGACAAAGTATTCAGCACAGTTCAATACAGTATTTAGCATAGTCTAGTATAGTTTTGGCATAGTATTTTCTTACTATAGTCTATATTGTTTTTAGATATTATATTATAACTTCAGATGTAACTTGTATTACTATATAGCTGATATTCTTAGCTACAAAATTACTTTAAGATATTTTTTGCTATGAATACTTCTTGAGGGACTTCACTTAGAGGTAAATATTTATAATGATTTTCTCTACTCTAAAATATCTATACGTACAATAGAAATAAAAATGGTAATATTATTAAGTTTGAGAAGAATACAATGATTATCATCTGTATGGCATTGTGACAAGCTACGTACTAAAATATTGTATGTGTGCATCTCTTGCTAAAATGACCTGGAACGGCGTAATTCACGAGTTTAAAAATATAATCTAATAATAGTGAAATTAAAAATATATAACCATTGAAATTTTAATACGGCACTTTTTACTGTTTAAAAATCTTATAACTAAGTTATTTTTCATTAGTTATGACTTTTTAAATTCAAGTTTTCTGAATTTCATAAACGAATATATTCAAATAGGATATAAAACAATATGGGCGACATCAACCGTCCATCTAACGATTTAATAAATAATAATAATAATAATAATGATGAAATAAAAACGACACCAAACATCAACGTAAAATATCCAACAATATCAATGAAAAAATTCATTTTTCAAAAAATTAAAAGAATGATAGAAATAATGAGTTATTTTAGATTGTTATTTGCGATAACTCTTTATATCTTACTTTTAATTGATCTAATTAGTACTCAACGAAATAAAGAAAAATATTTATGGATTGAAGTTTTATTGCAGGTTAATATAAAAAATTAATGAAATATTATATTGTATATATATTTTTTTTATCAATATATATATTAATTCATAAAGTATTAATATTATTATTCAGGTTATAAATGCCGAATTCACGTTATTAACATTAATAGAACATCCAAGACGTTTAAAAAATTTACTAAGAGCTATTCGAATTTGGACTGCCAATCGACAAGCAAAAAAATCTTCGAGAATTGAAAAATTCTGTGAACCTGATGATCCTAATTCAATACCTCAAAAGATTACTAATTCAGATTCTAAACCTGATAAATTGGTAGTAGCAATAAAGGTTTCATTAGAACTTCCATCATCCATAAAAAATTTACAAAAAATTGTATCTCAAAATTATGGTTGGTATTTATATGATGTCGAAGATAATTCATTGATTTGCTCACCAGCAAAGTTATTAAGTATTTTGGGTATTTGGAATATTGGAAGTTTATTGCAATATGGAATTTGTGGTATGTTTTTTTTTAAAAAAAAATATTATGCATGAATTTAATTAATTAATTATGATAATTAATTATATCTTAAAAACATTTACATAGCAATCCTATGGTTTATGACACCATTAAAACGTCCATTTGTTCCATACTTAACATTAACAATAATGTCCATTATTTGTGAGCTCGCTCCAATTCCTATAGTAGTTGTTCAATCAAAACATGCGTTATTAGCTAAAAGATTAGTAATGGATAATTCTGAAAAATCTGTTTGTAATCAAGTTTAATTGCAAACAATATTTTTAATTATAATATATATAGAATTTATCCCTGTAACATTTACTGTATTTTTATACGTACAAATAATAAAACATGTATCCTTGTAATAGCAAACTCACGTGGCTTATGTATGTTAGTTACTATTATTATCCTGTATTTGTTGATTGGCTAATCAGTTTAACTAAATAGTACGTTTACCTAACAACTAGGGTTAAATATTATACGATCTGCAAATATAGCAGTGGTCATTATCGATATCGATACAGGAATCCCGGATAATTTTTGCTACGTAGCAATTTTTCTTAACAGTAAATATATATAAAGTTCGAACGATAATAACATAAACCTATGAAATAAATTAATATTTATTGAATTCCTCTCAACACGCCTAAATACTAATTTAAGAGCTTTTTTTTTTGAAATCTTGTGTACAGTATACTGTATCTAATTTCTTTTATAAAATATATTTTTTTTATTCAGTTGTAAATATACAAAGTGGTCTCAACTTATTAAATAAATAAATATATATTATTAGTTATTTCTACATTATTGTCATACTAAAATTGTTACTACTCTTACAATTTTTCTGGTCTTTTTTCTTAAAACTTATCCTATATATATTAATACTATAAATTTTACTTTTAAATATGCAAATATTTAACAAAATTATGTTTATTTTATTGTTTGAAATTAAATACACATGCAAACAATAAACATTTTTAACAATTCTTAGATGTTCATAAACAGTTCTGTTTATATTTATCTCTTAACAAATAGAAAAAAAATACCTAAGATCAAAAAAACTGTGATAAAAAAAGCATATGTACAAACATTATAACACAAATCCTCAAATTTATTATTATTATATTTTTTTTTAAAAAAAAATTTAAATGTTCATCAAAACAGGATCTTCATTTCCTTGTTCTTGGCTTAATGGTCCAACTGGCTGACGAATCTGCTGTTGCTGTTGAAATTCGATCTTTGATATAATTCGACTATTGCTTGAATTTAGATAACCATGCCCACTTGTTGAAGGTTTTGGACCACTACTGCTAGCTTGTACATTTCTTAATTGGTCCTGCATAATTAAAGTGTTTTTTTTAAACGCTAAACGTTCATTGTACAACAATTGACGTTGTTTCTCTAATTCTTTCTTCTCATTTTCAAGAGCATTCTCTAATTCTTCAAATTGTTGAAGTTTAAGCTCAAGTTTTTTCAGTTGATTTTCAATGACTGCGTTGACAAGACGCTGAATTTCTCGTTCTTCATAATCTGCTAGTACTTTAGCTTTCGCGGCTGCCGCTCCCATTGCTGTTGCACCTGCTCTTTCTAATAGTTTTGGACGTGCAACTATAGCATCAGATGTCGCTACCTCTTCTGGTGTCTGTTCCGGATCTGGTTTCAACTCGGAAGCTCCTTCCGTATCCATTTCATCCCCAATTTTAATATCAGCCATTGGTGTGCTTGCGGTTGTTTCACTTGGTTCACCAGACTTTATTCCATTAACTCCATTTATTTCTTTATTTGCTGATTTTTTATTGTGAATGGATAGCTCTTTCAGTGCTGACTTTGCTGCTGCTGCTGCGACACCTGGGTTAACTACTGATGCTAAGAAAGCAACTACTGACATAACAGGATTATCCGCTTGGCTAAAAGGTATGCGTTGATATTGAAGTGGTCCAAGATCTGACATTTTAGTTTCATTAAGAGGATCCTCGATTGGGAATTCCAAAAAGTGTAAGATGCATTGCTCCCGAGTACGAGTTCCAACATGTTCAGAGATTTTGTTCCAGTCATCTTCAAATAATTCTACACCTTCTAATAGATCTAGATTTTCTTGTTCTGTCCAATCATCATCTTGAGCATGCTTGAATGGTGTTTCTTCCATTTTTAAAAAGTCGCCACTATACATTGATGTAGGATATCGTCCTTCCAAATAACAATTTGGACATAATTCAAAGTTTTGAGTCTTTACACTATGATAACGAACACGAGTACAATTAACACCACATGTGACACAATTGTATTGTTTTTGTTCATTTGATCCTGTATCAGCAACACTCCCAGTTTCATCCTGTGAACCTGGAGTAGCGGCTGTGTTCACCCCAGATTGATAAACATTTTGACGTATGCCAAAAATTTTATCCACTTTTGGATTCGCAGTAGCGGGTCCTTCGGTAGAAATGCCAACTGCTGCATTAGTTGTAGAAGTGGTCGCGACAGAACTTGATAAGGCAGTAGAAGGTCCAAGTGGCTGAAAAGGTTGAAGTCCTCTTGGTGTATCTGCTGTGATACGAAAGTGTCCAGTGAAAGAAGGCCCAACTGGAGATGGTCGAGTATCCGGATCAACCTAATTTAATTTTTAAAATGAATTATTTTTAAACGAATTATTAGTTGAGCAAAAATCTCTTATGAGGAAACAAATAAAATTTCTTACTTGATAATTAATCAAACCCCATTGTTCTAAGAAAGCGTGAAGACGAATAACTGCACACACATCACCCGCCAAATTTCTGCGACAAGCTGTGACAGTCAAATATTCTCCGGGATTAAGTCGATAAGTATTTATTATAAAATCTCTGTATTCTTTATATATGCTAGGATTCTTCGACTTGTTTCTGTTGTTAAAAAACTCCGGCAAAGATTTTTTCTCGATAGGATGGACGGTTGACATGTTGAACCATGCAGAATACGAAGGAATCACAATTTCTTGTGTTTGCTCTGATAAATACTTTCGGGCTTCTTCTTCAAGTCGTTTCTTTTCATCCTCATCGTTGGCAGAAAGAACTTCTTGAGGAATAACAGTGTCGGACAAGGGCTCATTTGTATCATCTTCTGGCTGTCTATTATCATCTGTGGTTGCCATGTGTTCATCTTCGTCCACTTCTTTTGCTGCGGAGCTAGGTGAAGCTTTATACTCAACACGTCCACTGGGTATATCATTTTGCTCTTGTTCAGCCATTTCAACATCAGCATCTAAATAAAAAAATATAGTAATAAATATTTTTATAAAATGACACCCACAATTATTTTATTTCATTGCAAGGATATATTTAAAATCTTATTATTACTATTGACGGGAATTCGGACCCCTTCCATGTCTGTTGCTATATTATCCGTATCTGCATTCTCGTCTATAGCCTCTGGATCTTCAAGATCTTGTTGTACATCTTCACTGTTAGATCTTTCAGCTGGAACTAATTGAGAAATATTCGCAATTTCCCCACCAATAACAGGGTCAAATTCATTTTTCTTTGCGCGAATTCCGACTACACGTGATGCTTCTTGTTCAATATCTACGAGTGATATGTTCGGGTGTTCTGGCACTGTATCATGGTCTGGTGATCTTAACCTTGCACGTTTTGCGCCTGTTGTAGGACGAACATCAACATCCATGTTCGAAGGTGATTCTAACGAATCCAAATTTCGTTTATGTGACGGTGAAGCTTCTGACTCTGAAATACCAGATTGTTCTTCAACAGGCAATTTTGAATCAGTTATCTCGTAATCTTCTTCGTTCATCCACTCGTTAAATTCAGCACTATCTCTGAGCCATCGATCTGATACATTCCAGGGACCGTGATGAATGGGATTTGGCTCAGGATCTGCATGATCAGCTTCGTCTAGCCATGAGTCATAAGAATCTGGGTAATACCACCAATGTAACAAAACTTTACCATCCTTTTTTTCTAAAGTTCTGTACCATTCTTCGTCTGCATCATCATTATGCTCATTCGTGGCATGTATAGTATGAGTCGCTCTTACAACATCATGAACTACCTGCCCTGGTATCGAATAAAAGGTGAATAATTAATAAATATTCTAGATTGAATCACAAAATTATATTCCAGTTATAAATTAAAGAAATTTACCCCCTAAATTATTTACGTGCTCAATTAACTCTTGTCTATGTGTACCTCCTACAGATTCTCTAAGTAATATCATGGGTTTTTTAATAAATCCTTTGGACTCTAAGTGATTTCTTATCTGTTTTACCATTTCGATCAGATCATTTCGGTTTAGTTCCCATTCCCAACGTTTCCATTTTTTTTGTCCTCGAAATTTATAAGCCGCACGAATAATATGATAGATCGGTGTGTTAAGACCAGGCGGTGGTTCAAACTTGAATAGTTTTCCAGGGATCTTTGGAGGAATCTTATCGAATCGTGGAGCTTGACGCCCTAAAACATCTTCTTGAAACTTTTGAAAATGGCCAAGAAATAATGAAAGTTCCTTTGAAGTTACACTGGAAAGATCAGGATATTGTTGCGAAAGGTCCCGAATCAACCTTTCGCGAATCGTATCTAGCCGCGTTATTGTGGCCGGAAGTTCATAATAATTTAAATCAATAATCAATTGTCGTCTACGTTGAGACATTTTAAGTGATCATTGAAAAGCTTTTAATTTCTATAAATATCGTTTATAGAGATTAACATCAAAGTAATTTCAGGTAAAAGGTCGTTCTGATATATATATATGGTTTTTGAGCGAGAATAAAAATTTTGTCACTGAAAAAATTTCTTAGTCTAGGCCTTTTTTTTTGTTTATTCGGTCACACTTTGTAACCTATGCTGATGTTGATCCTATATAAAAATGCATTTTTGTAACCAAAGTTGCTGTCGTTTGTGTTCATTTTAGTAATTTTATTAGCAAGTAATTTAAAATTTTTAAAAGAAATCTTAAGTGCTTTTCAACGTCGCTAGAGAAAAAAGTTAGCTTTAATGTGTTATTGTATTTAGATAGCGTTAAGCATAGCTGATAGTACAACTTAGTACAATTAGCTATCTGCTACGTATAGTATTACAAAAGCTAATTATTATTATTTTCTTATGTTTTTACTTGAACTTAAACCTACAATACGTATAAGGGAACCATGGGTATTATGGCGCACTCAACGATTGCTAATAATAAAAATTTTTGAAAAAAGCTTATTTTATTCCCAAAATTTATTAAAATAAAATACATTCGATTTACTAATTAATTATAAAAAAAAAACTTGCACTTTTTAAAAAAAATTCAGTATACTGAACGTTTAAAAATCGTTAAAAAATTGTTATGTTTTTTTCGGGTTGAGGGTATTATGGCGCACCGTGCAGGTTAAGATTTACATACTGTATAAATTACTTTATTGATACTTTCCATATTAAAATATCAAAAACGGAACGGTACTAGTAATATCCATATTTACATGATATGATTTTTTTTTTTACAAGAACGTTGTAAATATTCTTCTTTTCTTTTTTCTATTTTAGCTTTTTTTGAAGTGTTATAGGATAGATTTTAGTTATTTTATTATTATATTATTATTATATTTTAGTTATATTATTAGTTATATTTATTTTTTTTTTTTGTTATTAAGATAGCTTACATTGCTAAAGGAATTTTATTAGAATTGCATACAGGATATACATTGATAGTTTCTACTATTTGTAATTACATGAAGAGTATACAACAAGTCACATGTACAACTTTAGTTATTATCTATTTTAAGTAGTCTGCTACATAGGTGATTAGATCACTCAATTAGTTCTATACTATACTACTATATCTGTAACCTATTT